GGGGGGGGGGGGTCGAGGATTATACGTGTTGAAGGATAGGGGCTTGCGCTACAAAAGCGTCACAAGGTGGGGAGGAGGGGAGCAATTTTTTATTTTTATTTTTTTTTTTTTAATCTTTATTATCTGTATTCTATCTTTATCTCATTGATTTAGTAATTAATAGGATCCTTGATCCACCAGTTAGACTTAAGTTATGTAAATAGATGTTCACGTAAAATTCCCAAATACTGTAAGGTGGGAGCAAAAATGCCGGAAAAGTGCGTTACGTGCTTTAGGGGGCCTCCAAAGATCGTATCATGGAGTCATCAGGGCCAAAAAGGATAGCTAAACTTCCCACGCGAAGTATCCAATTAGAGTTCTTCCCGACTGTTACATTATAAGTTGGACGAGTTGACTAGAGACGACTATCGCAGGTGTATAACATTATACAAATTTTAATTCAAACGATCCTTGATCGCCCAAAAAACGTTCAAATGTGACAAAAACGAAAAAATTTGAAATCTTTGTTAGGTTACTATTTTCGGCCCAAACATTATTCGCGGAGATATTTGCTGCATTTTAAAGTTGCGAATATTAAATGAATGTAGGCCACACATCATAAAAAATGAAATCTTCACACATCCTGCGCGGACAAAAGCCGAATCGATCAAACACTGTGTATCTTATTCTAACTCTGCCAATAGTTTCTTGACAAGCGCGCTTATACAACACCAGAAATGCCGGGAGCAGTAACCTTCCAGAGAGTTATCTGCGGAGGAGATATCATTTTCCCTCAAAAGTACCTGCTAATTTGAGAAGTAGAAGTGGAGAAAAGGTGTTTAATGACAAGCTGTACGAATATTTAGAGTACCTCGGGAATGAATGCTGACGAGTTCTCAGCTATACAAGAGTAATTTTTACCCTATTTTACTGAAATTATCTAACGTTAAAATCCGCAAGGTACCCCTTAGCAATGAAGTAACTAAATTTAGTGAACAGTTTCCTAAGGTGACGCATTTGTCAGTTAACCTATTTTGTTCAATTTTCAACGAGAGAAATTATTATCAGTGTCATATCGGTGAAAGTCCGGTTGGATTTCGGGATTGCGGATCCGTCCACACCCTCAGAGGCGGATCCAGCAATTTGGCAACACCGGATTTCGTCTATTTAAACCTGTGCTAAGCAATCGATTCTTGTCGGAGCACCTGGCCCCTCCAAAAATCGATACATTTTCATAGGTTTAAATGGACGAAATCCGGTGTTGCCAAGTTGCTGGATCCGCCAATGCACACCCTCCCAATGCGAAAGAAGCCCCCGATGAGAAGCCTCCTTTGACCAAATCTTGTTTAAACTAACATGATGGAAACGATGATGGGGATGTTGCATGTGTGAGGAATTTGCGATTTGACTGTTGATTCTTAAGTAAAACGTCGCAAGAAATACGATGGTCCCACTGGTTTTCTCTGAAATTCACTCCCAAGCTCAA